ATACAATATATATCACACATCTACAATTGTGCCAGCCAGCTGTAAGTAAAAGGGAAACATTTTAAGCACAGTTATAGGATAAGTTGAAAGACCTGAAACCATTCTTTCATCTAATAGGCTTAGACATGTTATAGGTGATTAAGTTCTAAAAATCTGCTGTATTAAAAATCAAGCACATCTAACCCAGAGATAAGGGACTCTATATATAATCTTTATAAATATGAGATTATTCATTTAAAAAATTACACGAGTCATTAGCAAGTGCTGAGGTCTAGGCAATTCCTTTCCTTATACTTATGTATGGTTGGCAGCTCCTGAAATTGAACTGTAAGAAGCACTCTTTTCCTAGGTAGTCAGGATCTATAGTTGGTCAGTTAAAGAAGAAAGTTAGTTAAAGGAGAGAATCACAAAATTATAAAAAATATCCTTAAAACTTTATTTTTAATTTAAAACATAAAGAAGTCCATTCGTTCATCATTCCTTTTGGTATCAGGCTAATTAAGGCCTTTTCTTTGAGTGGGGTCCACCACCTGGGGCTGCATATAAGACTTCCATTAACACAGCAAATAGCATTGTTGATTTTAGTTTCAGTGAGGTGAGGTCTCAGGATACTTGTGGAGGAAACTGAGGGCAGAATTCTAGATTTTGATAACCCTTTCCTCTCTCCAAACTTTCACATTTGCTTTACCCACACCTAATTCCACATTTTTTTTTCTTGAGAAAGACCTGTCTTTATCAGGTTTTATCTAAGCATTCAACTTATTTTCATAGAGATTACCACCCTCTTTACACTCATATTTGTATGATTTTGGTAACATTCAATTAAATTATGTAATTACCAAGTACAACTTACATAAACAAGTCTGAGAACAAATGACTGCATTTTGGAAAGCATACAACTAAATTAGGGAGAGAAGTGATTAGCCCATCAGGGACTAGCCAACTTACTAGTTGTAAAAATTGGGTGGGCCTTGAGTCGTCAGGCATATGTTTCACAGAGAACAGAGACTGGTTCAAAGGTCTGAACCATAGGAAAGCTGAGTTCATTTAAGAAATGAAAAATCTAAATTCAGAGACTTACCACTCAAACTCATATGAAGTTAGTGCTGAAATTCTTTTTAGTGGAAAGTTGACAAAGAAGATTTGAATGAACCTTTCTTTGCTGGGTTTCTCTGTAGGAGGGCATAATGCCTGAGTCTCCATGTGGATGTGATTAGTGTCACTGGGTCTATTCCTGGTAAATGCTCTAAAATATTAAAATATATCTCCCTTTGAAGGAGGCAGGAAAGGAGCTGTTCCTAGTTTATGTTTAATAAAATACTGAAGTCTAAAGTAGCCTTAATATGGGTCAGATTACTAAGGATAATAAAATTCTCCAAAAGAACCCATTTGCTAACCAGTAGGGGAAAAACAATCCTGTTTCCTCATGCTCTCTTGTGATAAAACAGTAGGTTTACAGTGGGGATTATGAAGCTCTAAAATTAAAGTATCTGAAAGAGATCTTCATTTACCTTCATTATGGTTGGATTACACTGCACACCAAGAGTTGGCCACCAAAATGATAAGTGGTGGTGCCCGAGGGTGGGCCGTGGAATTAGAAGTACTTCCTCCCCACCCCCTAAATTGTCTAAAATGAAATTATATTACTTTTATAAGTAAAAACGACAATAAAAACACTACCATAATTTACCACCACAGCTAGTTAGTAATAATAGGCAGACCAGTTTAACGTTTTGGACAGAATGAGCTGTAGCCTCAACAGAGGATCCCCTTCTTTGGGTAATTCTTATTGAATTCGGTGAGAACACAAAACAATTTACAATTTTCCTCTTCTGCCTCATGCAGTTTAAGAACTTTAAAAGAAACGAAGACTAAGCAAAGTAAATCCACATCTGTTTTCCTAGCTAGCTAAATTTAGGAAGTCCACTGAATTATGGAATCTCTATCTTAAAAGGTTTAATAAGTCTTCCAAAAGGCAGCACTGAATGGGGTTAAGATCACGAACTCTGGAGCCAAAATGCTGAGTAAACTTGGACAGTTACTTAACCTCTCTGTGACTCAATTCCCACACCTGTAAAATAGTGATACTTGATTCTTAAGAGAATCAAATGAATTAATGTGTAATTAATGTTATGTATAAACTGCTTTTAACAGTGCTTGGCATGTAGAAAGTTCTATAGAAGTTTGGTAAAGAAATGCAAATTTAAAAAAAATCAGTGAGTTCACTAAGTATATGTTAGTGTTAAGAATAGTCTCTGTATTCTTTTCAACATTCTTATCCTTCAAGATTTTTATTAATAATTTCTACTAAGCCTAGATAAGTTAAACTGATGCTTAATGCTTAATGAAATGTATGATATATTTAGGGACAAGTAATCTAAATATCTAAGATAGGATTTACAGGTTATAAAGACCTTTGACGCTGTGCCCATTAATAAATCAGTCTTTCCTAAAGCCATCTTCCCCAGTGTAGAGACCCCTAAGAGATGCTGACAGTGCACTGGGAGGAACACTTTTAAATGGATGGGTGTATATGCTAGTGGTTTTAGAATATGAATTCTTGGATGCTCCTCCCTTCGAAAGGTGGAGCCTAATCTACTCTCCTTGAGTGTGAGATGGACTTAGTGACCTGCTTTTAACAAATAAAAAGGAAGTAGAAGTGATGGTGTGCAACTTTATAGACTAGGTCTTTCCTCACTTGGATCTAAAGGAAGCTAAAGGAAGCCATGCTGTGTCATGAGGATACTCAGCAACCCTGTGGAGAGGCTCACGTGCTACGGAACTGAGCCTCCTGCCAACAGCCATGGGAAGCAGTCATCTTGGAAGCAGATCTTCCAGCCCATCAAGTCTTCAGATGACTGCAGGTCTGGCTGACTGCTTGAATGAAACCCCATGAGGGACACTGAGCCAGACCACCCGCTGAGCCACTTCTAGATTCCTGACCTGAAGGAACCATGTAAGATAATAAGTGTTTGTTGTTTTAAGCTGCTATATATTTGGGATAATTTTCTACAGAGCATAGATAACTATGATAGTGTGTTTATAGATGAAGTGAAAAAGAAAGCAGTGATAGAGTACCCTTTCTAGACCTGATACTATTCAACCAGTGAAAATCCATCATCTTGACCCAAAAGCTATCACCAAATTGCAGTAAGAAGCTGTGATAAAATGGTTTCTTTCTTCTCCCTGCCCGTTGCTACTTTTTATGTCACAAGCTGTCAGGATTTGTCCTATTATTTAGCATAATTGCCTAGAATATCTCTGATAAAGTTTGAGTACAATCTCAGTTACTAGGAGAAGGCTGGTAACCTGGCTATGGAAAAGCCCCAAAGAGAGAAGTTTATAATAAACAGCTTTGGTTCATTGCCCTGAAGCATCATAAACTGTATTTTATAGGAATATTCAGAACTCATAGACTAAATTGACAGACTTGGGGGCAGAACTACAGAAACTAAATTCACGAGACTGATGTAGAAGTCAGAAAGTGTCTCTAAATTTACTATGTGCAGAATGGAATTCTGGTGCCTTCATCCAGAGTTCCTCTTTTCCTGAATGGTAGATTCAAGGCCATATTAGCAATCAGGAGGTGGTTCAGTTAAGCTTGCAATTAGAGCCAAAAGAAATGGCAAGTCTCGAGGTATGTTCGTCCCAAGCCACAGCAAGTCTTGGCCAACTGATCCTACTGAAGTGGAGGATACTTCTGGTCACAGGTTGCTCACATCTCTTGGATTCAGTGCCTCCCCTCTATGGATAACATTGTATATACACTGTTACATTTTGTTTCCTCCAAACCTTGTTCTTGGTAAATTATTTCTGTTCACATTTTCTTTTTTCTCAAATGAATTAATATCATTTAAAGACCACAATGTACCTAGGAAACATGGAGGCTCTTCTCACTACACATTGACTTACTGTTTAATTCTCTGGGTGTATCTTATTCCCAAGTCCTTGGGAGGTATTTCACAGGTGCCCTCACCACTACCTGTATAGTTTGGATCAGAAGCCGATTATTAGTATATCAGAGCTTGTCCAGAGATAATATTTTAGAACTGGCATAGCGTTTCAAAGGCAGTTTTGTAATTTCTGATTGCTCATCTAAAAATTTTCATAATCGACAAAATCATAAGTTGATCACAAGGAGTTGAAAAACAAATATATTAACCAGTTATCAAAAATAGGGTATTTATGTAACGTTCTCTTTTTTCAGTCCACTGTATGTAGTAGTACGGTTTTCTAACTTGAGTCATGAGTATTCTTACCAAAACCAACTCATTCACATTTGGAACAATTACGCTAATTTGTACCTGTCAGTTTCAGAAATTCAAAATAGTTTTTACTATCTACAATTTAAAATTAAATTTCAAGAGAAAAATATCTTCGTATTTAATGTCTTGGTATTAATCAATATCTAATGATTCAGAAGTTGAAAAGTATGTTGCATTTAAATGTATGCACTTGAATTATAAATACTTTGAATTATAATAAAATCATCTGTTGCCCACTTTGTAATTAGATAAATAGAATTATAATGAGCTCAATAATTAGTGATTAATATGCCAAAATAATTTCATAAATTTATACACTAAAATCTAAAATCTCTTTTTAATATGCCAAAATAATTTCATAAATTTATACACTAAAACTAAAATCTTTTAGTTTCATTGTCCTTAGAAATCCAGGAAAAACCACTCAATTAATGGTCACTTCACTTTTCATTTTTATCAGACACCATTCTTTTTGACTTTGAATCCTACTGAATATATCTTTCCCTGACCATTTCTGTTTAACTAAAAAGAAAAAAATATTTTTCTTGGAAACAAAATGAAGTCTCAGTTAACTCAATAGTTGGTGAAATGTCACCTGAAATTTTAAATAGCTACAAATCCCCAAAAGGAAAACACATTAGCTTTAATACACCTAGTACATAACAGAAATGAAAAGAGCTATTTTGGGAAAGCTAATGTAAGTAGAAAAATTGATTAAGGTATGCTCACTAAAAGTCCTGTCATCAATATTTTTATTTAGTATATGTTAGAATATAAATACATAACAATGCACCCTTTCTTATCACAGATAGTCTGCATAACTAAAATTTATGGCCAACATTTTATAAAATAAAACTAAAACTGTAAATTATCAGAAAAGGAACAAAGATATAGGAAAACAATATGTTTTCTATAAATTACAGAGGATAGTTACAATGAAAATCCATTACTTTCCTCTCTAACTCAATTTTACTAAATAAAGTTAACATGTATTATTCTGTGAACTGCTTTTGGCCCTTTCAAAAGACAGAGGTCAAAGACAATGTTATCTTGATGTCATATATTGTTCTTAGTTCTTAACTGGAGTAGAGCTTCCTTTCATAGTCTTCTTTAGGTGGTGGTAGTTTGGCAAGATTTTCATCAGGAAATCCAGCTGTAGTGTCTGGGGCTAAAAAGATAAGATAATTAAGAACTGACCAACAGAAAGCAAAGTCAAGAGTACCAGGCAGAAATGATTATCAGTAGATCATGGAATTCCAGGTGATTATCACCTATGACTTATTTTTGCTTACCTGTTTTTTTTTTTTAATTTACAACGAATATACATTGTTTGGTAATAAGAAAAGCCAAGAGATTTTATATATAAAAATATATATGTGATCCTGTTTTAAACCTTGCTTTTATACATTTCACCCTGGCCTCTAAAATGGTAAAAATTCTAATTATAGAAGACAACATAAGTAAAATACCCAGAGTACATTGCTTTCCACAAGACCTACACAGCACACATCTGTGATACTCAACTGATCTTCATTTTCATATACCAGCTTTACTCAAACTCCCCTCATTATAAAACTTACCTGGAGGGTACCTGTGAAAATATGGATTTGTTTAGGTCCTTGCCCTAGATACCCTGATTCAACAGGTCCCAGGAACCCTTTTTTTTAATAACGACCTGTACATGATCCTATGATCACTGAAAAATGGAAAATAGTACTGCATACCATTGTGTATTAAACTTCAGGTATTCTTGCTTACTTAATTCTCATCTCCTTTTCTCAACTTTAGCTATTTATCCCTCTTTAATTATTTTTATTGTTATGCACAAAGATAGTGAAAAAATACTGGATTGGTTATTTCCTTTTTAGATACAGAAGTAATACTTGCTTATGATTATAGTAATAATAAAAGCTAAACATTACAGAAATAGAATAATCCAGAAAGAACTGGAATTTAAATTTTTGATAAAATATAGCTAAGAATCAGAGGCAAAGTGATAAATGTCTCGAAAATATTTTCTTTGGGAGAAATAGGAGGACACTGAGTAACTAAAGAAATATATTGAGTGTGCCAACCACTGAGGCTCCAAATTTCAATCAGAATGTCTTCTGTCCAAAAGAAGCCCCAAATGCCCTTTTCTTATTCGTCTCCTACTCTAACAAGAAACTCCAAATATGTACTCTTCATTACTCTTGGTTATTAGGAGGAGATAATTTATCGTAAGCCAGGAAAATATCCACAAGCTGTATTTATTTTCAAGCTAACTATGTTAGTAAACTAATAGATGGACTCAAGGTAGCTTGTCCAGTATAAATTTAGTATGGTCATTTCTTACCCTCTAAGTGATATTTTAAGATGCATTTTCGCTGAAGATGCATCACCAAACCTTAAAAACATCACCAAACCTTAAAAACATATTTAAGGTTTGGTGATGCATCTTCAGCGAAAATGCATAAGACCAGGAATAACATCTCTGAATTTTCTTTTCTCATAATTCATTTATCATTGTCATCTTTGTACATTTTTTTTTTTTTTTTTACGCTCACAGCACCCGGTCTTCCTAGGTGGTCTCCCATCCAAGTACTAACCAGGCCTGACCCTGCTTAGCTTCTGACATCAGACGGGATCGGGCGTGTTCAGGGTAGCATGGCTGGTAGCATATGTACATCTTTGTACATATTTTTGATATTAACTTAAAGACTTGAACAACTCCACTGCAAATAAATTCTAGTTTTAGGAATGTTTCTCTGATATTTTATTTTAATCATTTGCTTTTTAAATAGTGAACTACTGTCCCATTAAAACAATTATGTAGTATTTGGGGAAAATTGGCAGCCCTAGAAAGAACTCTTTTTAAAGAGAAGTTCTAGTACCTGTGGTCGCTCAGTCTGCACCCGACGAAGGCAGTCTACACCATAGATCACTGTATTCTCAGGGATAACTTCAAACGTATTTAGGTTGCAACAAGCCCCAATGATGCAACCGCTTGTCAATATTACGTTTCTGCCTACATATGCTGCAGTAAAAACATAGGAAGAATTACAATTTAAGACATCAAATAATTAGAACATCATTTTTTTCTAAGATGATTTAGGTATAAAAATGCAAACTGGCCTTGAGAAAAAAAATTAACGAAAATACTTCATTTCAGAGTTTGTATAGCATAATGGCAAGTCCAAACTGGTATTCAAAACAAGACCCTGCCGCTGATTAGTTGTGTGACCTTGGGCAAGTCACTATAAATTCTTGAAGCAAGTTAATCTATGAAATAAAGTCCACTCTACTTCACAGTTTGCTGTAAGTAATAAATGGGATAGTAAATGTATAGTGTTGAGCATATCTTGGACAAATAGTAAGTACATAATAAATAGAAAATGACAATGATGATGGTAATCATAATTGGTATTCCAAATTAAAATAAAAACCATTAAGTGATTAACAAAAGTCTAATTTTATTGTTTAAAGAGAAGCATTTTCTTCCATGCCAGTCAGAACCAAGAAAGATAAAGCATTATGCTACAGAGGTGTCACTGTTCAGGTTCTTTCTGGACCTTTGTGGGACAAGCTCTTAGAGTTGCTTCCTAGTAGTGGTGATGACTTTACATGACCCCCTGCCTGGTCCCATTTATGATAAATGGCTTACATTTGTTTCTGATTGGCTAGGGTAGTAGATCTGAAATTAAAGAAAGCAAACTACTAGAGAAACTGATTTTCTTCTTTAATTTTACAATAACATTAATCAACTAAATTATCATTGATACTAGTATTTAGTAGAAGTCCTTTCCGAAACTTTCATTTGAACTTTATGACTTAATTCAATCCTGATTTAAACATACGCAGTTGAATTTTTAATTTAATATATTAGACACATTACCAGATTGGATTCCTTAAAGGTAAAGAATTAGTCTACTTTAGTCCACTTCCAACCACAACTTCTTTCCAAGCACATCACTTAGCCATAGTTGGTACAGACATACCCTTGGAAATATTGCAGATTTGGTTCCATGCCATTGCAATAAAGCGATTATTGCAATTAAGCAAGTCACACGAATTTTTACTTTCCCAATGCATATAAAAGTCATGTTTACATAATACCATAGTCTATTAAGTGTGCAATAGCATTATGTCTAAATAACAATGTATCAACCTTAATTAAAAAACTTTATTACTAAAATTGCTAACCATCATCTGAGCCTTCAGCAAATTGTAATCTTTTTGTTGAGGGTCTTGCCTTGATGTTGATGAAAACGCACTCTCTGTGAAGTGTTAGAAAGCGAAGCACAACAAAACGAAGCATGCCTGTACTTAGGTTGTTCGTTTCCCAGACACCACAGAGAAAGGAGGCAATCACTTTTCACAATAAAACTCGGAACGTAGCTTACCTTTTGATTCAATAACATTATTATCTCCCATTTTCATGGCTTGGGAATCTGTGAGCCAGAGTTAAGTAAACATTGTAAGTATGTTCCTCTTCTCTCTCTGCTAATTCACTATGTCCTTACCCTGCACTGGGACAGAGGGCAGAGGTGCGAGAAGGGCCGTGCAAGCTCAGCCTGGCCAGAACTCCTTGTTCAGGGGAGTCGGAACGTTTTAATCTTTAAATATAAATACCTTTAAGTATAAATAAATGACTTCTATGTTTTTTAAAGAAATAAGTACCTTATACCCCAATTCTATGAGCAACATATTTTCATAATTGTTTTAAGAAAACTAAAACTAGCTATCACACAATCACTTAAAGACTGTTAATGGTCTGAAATATCTTTACATAAATATGTATAATACCCTTTATATAACTGGGAATCAAACTATATAAACTTTAGCAGTTCACTTTATTTGGTTCCTTTATATGTGCAAGCATTATTCTGTACCATTAAAATCATTAAAAACATAATTTTAAATGACTGCTTAATGGTCCTAATAGTCCATTTTATGTTTTATTTAAATATCTTGCTATTGTAACCATTTAGATTCTTTTCCTCTAAGTATTTTCTATTATAATAATGTTTTGCTGACACCATATAAAGATTTTACTATCTTTTTAGAGTACAAAATGAAACAAAAGAACTGATGATACTCTGGAGGGAAAAAAAAAACAAAGAATAAAATATTTTCATCATTTCCTTGTAGCCAACAACATATTGTCAACCTAAAACTATAGAGAAATCAAATGGACAGAGCTGTGGTTCTTAAATCAGGACAGAATCCAGGATTACTATTTCTGTGTCCATTGCCACTTAGTCATTGCTACCTGTCAATAAGTTGTACCAACAGGACCAAAGTGGTACGTTCAAAATGGTGAGCTAAAGGTGTATGTGTGTTTGTGTGTATGTGTGTGTTGTTTGTGTGTGTGCAAGTGTGTCTGAAAATGGCATACTTCCTTTAATCTATTGGGTTATTCAGTGGAAGAGAAGAAAAAAAAATTTTTGATACACTGCAAGTCAAAGAGCTGGATGGCCAACTCTTAAAAATGTAATTTATATATATGTAATGTATTTGATAGATAAATTATGACAATTTCTACCAAGGAGATTTGGGTACTAAAAGAGAGCTGGGAATGATTTATCTAAAATTATTGTAAAGGATACAACAGCCAACTTCAAAAACATTATTGGTGCCAATGATCATAGTTTTGGGTTCTGGATCTTCAGCGTCAGGGGTGATATTATCAGGGTGACTATAAAAAGAAGAGACAAATAAACGAAAAGTTAATGCAAGAGACAATTATCTTGTTTTAACATTTGAGTTCGTTCTCTCAATTTTACCTACATCAAGCTTAAAATATATAACTATGTCAGTAATTTCTTAATCCAAGCAATTTATCCTGTATGCTAAAGAAGACTTGATTCTGACTTTAAAAAGAACTACTGAAATATAAAAAAGTCATAAGTATGTACAGAAAGACAGCCTTCATTTATCTTTTATATTCAAAATCCAGAGAACTTCTCCAGGACAAGGTAAAAAAGATACTGGCTATGACTTTTAGCTTGCTGAACTAGAATCAAAATCACGCCTAAACTGCAAATTTTCCATTCTTAATAATCATTTGAGATTATAAAACATAAACAGATATTTACATAAAATAATTATTTTATGCTGTTAGGTAGTTAGTTGAAATATTTGGAAAATAAATGTTTGTGGTCTAAGAAGAAGCCATTTTAAAATGGTGATTTACCTCTGACAGTTGAGTTACAGCAGGATATAACTGTTGTTAATTGACTTATGCTAACAGTGCCAAAATATATTTTTATAAGAAACTGCTTAATATAGTAAGAAACTCCCTAATCCTAAGTAAGCATTAAGATAAAAAAATCTCTTTATCAGTTAAATATTTTCCCAGGTCTTTGTTAAAAAATTCCATACATGGTTGCTATAAATTAGGTATAAGCTTGAACTTCCTGCCAAAATTTTATCTAGAGAGCTTTAAAAATGCTTATGAAAATTTCATAAGTATTACATTCTAGTTCACTAACATCATGTACATGGTTCTGATATTTTATTATTATTTTAATCTCTAAAGATTAAAAATTGCCTCTAGGGCCCCAAATTTTTCAAATATAATTCTGGGTGTTATCCCTACAAAGCATATGAAGATATAGGTCAAAGTAAAGTTCATGAGTCTAAGCATGCATAATAGCATTTCAGCCAGAACCAAGAAATCCAACCAAAAGACTCTTCAGGGTTGTCGGCACAGCACTTGGACATTTCGGGTACTAGGGAAATGTTTGCTTAAGGAACAAAGAAGGTAGAACTATGTAAGGGGAAGATTACCCGATTGAGTGTTGGAAAGTCTAGTCAGCCACCAACGAGCTACCTCACCTTGGACAAGTCTCTCCACTCAGCTGGTCTTTGGTTTCCTCATTTACTAGTTACTTGTGTTGAAAAAGATCCCTAATGTTTCTCCAGTTCTAAAACAGTGGGCTTTGCAGATGTCAGTTATAAAAGGTTCCTATAGTTAGAAGTAATTAATAAAAACACTATCTGTGGCACTCAGTTCAGAGTAGTTGTAAGAGTCTTACTCACGCATTTATGATAAGCGCCTGTTCTTCTATCAGGTTACCTTCACCAATCACTATTGGCCCGGCTTCCGCAATAATTCGTGCTTTAGGGTGGACCACTGTTCTAGGTCCTGTTAAAAGTATGGTGAAAAGAAATTATTGGTTGAGGCTAAGCTTCCCACAGGAGGGCAGGAGGTGACCAAGGGGGGGCCAAGGCTGTTGGGAGGAACGTTTTCTAAAGTATGTGCCAGGCACCACACAAGGCACTTCACAAACGTTATCTCCTCAGCTGTTATCATTAGCAGTTAGTGCCAAATCTCAAACCAAGGTGAGTGGAGACAGATAGCACAGGCTTAGGAGCCAGACAGCCCTGGCTCACCCTCTATTTTGAAGCCTCTGTTATCTCAGCAGTGAAATGGAGATGGTGATAATACCAGTCTTGCAGAGTTGCTGTAAGGATCAGATGAGATAATGTTTGTAGGCCCAGTATTCTGGCACATAGTTGGCAATAAAAATTAACTCCCTTCCTTTCCTTCATATAAAGGTAAGGTGTCTTTGCTTATAATTCTGGTGCTTTCTTACGCTAGTGAACCACCTAACACTTTCTTATGCTAGTGTACTACAGGATTAGTCTTTTTATTAAATGATTAAGAGAGGAATATGGGTGGGCCAAAGTCAGAAAATATGGAAAACTAACCTCAGCTTTGTTTCTTTGTTACTATCACTGTTATAAGCTTACCCATGGGAGGAGGCAGACCTTCTGTTATCTGGAGAAGGATGTGATATTTAACCAGTTAAAGGTAGAAAAAGGTGAAAGAGACACAGTGGAAGGAGCTAAGTGTGATCACTGGAGTCCTGAGACTCTGATATAGGGGGACCTGACACAATGACTCCAATCTCAAATTGAAGGGAACAGGAAAGGGGTCTCATCACATCCATTTCATGATCAGACTGGTAAAGGCGCAGCATTGCCTAAACGTAGATTCTGGAATGCTACACATTCCCTCTCCCAGCTTTTATTTACCCATAGTCCTAGAATTCTGGTGATAATGAAACCACTGATGAGAAAACATAACCTCATTTTAGCCTCTCCCTCCAACACACACTCCACCCACCCCAACAGCAAGGCTATTTTTACTAGTAAACCAGAAGACAGGAAGTAACTGGCTCCGAAAGTAAGAGAGAGTGGGCAGAAGTGTTGACAGGAGGTAGGGAAGGAATCAGGAAGATGACATTGACCATTAAATTCAATTGTATAAGTTGTTAATTTATTCAGTAATCATTATCTGCTTCTGACAGGCAAGATGCAGCACTGTATGTTATGAGAAACAAAAAGACATACATGCTATTTTTGCTCTTTGAACTTGTTGTCTGAAAAACTGGGACTACTTCACACACTCACTCGCAAATGACTAAAATAATAAGGAGATTTTCCTGGTGCCCAGAGAACTGGAAGGAACCTCAGTGAAGCTTATTTTTTCCTAACAATGAAGAGCTGAGTAGTGATACGGGGCTGGGGATGGGGTGGGGAGGCTTAAGCAGGATGCATAGTCAAAGGACGTACAGTTTGGTAAGAAATAACATGAGAGTGGCTGTGTTGTTTCTGTCACATCTGGCTGCCCAAACCTTCAGCTGCTAAAGTAAAATTTCCCCAGCAAATTCTCCTATTCAGGATAGCAGATCTCAGGATAGAAGACAGGATCTCTCAGTTCCTTGGGAAGTTTCTCAACTTGACCATGAGTGTGAACAAATGTGCCTTTTTTCCTTTGTTAAAATAATACACAGACACATAATTTACAAAATAAATACATGCTCGTTACAACAACTTCAAACGAAGCAAAAAGTACGAAGATCCTGTCATGCTAATCTCATTCCCAAGAGGTAACTATTCTTAAAAGTCTGAAGTATATTATTCCAGACTTAAGTACTACTGTATATAAACTTTATTTCACTAATAGTTTAAAAAATAAATTCAACTTGAAGGAGAAAAAACTGGATTACAAACACTTTTTTTAAAACTAAGGAATAGTACTTAGTTTTCTGTAATTTGCTTTTTTCACCTAATAAGTCACGGTCATTTTTCCATATAAACACATCTAAGTAGATATTCTTTTTAATGGCTGAATAGTATTTCACATCATATTAATATATCATAATTTATTTAACCAATCCTTTAATAATAGCCATTTAGATGTAACCACTTTGCCGGGAGAGGCGCTAATCAATGCTGAAACAAACACTGGATTCCTTTGAAATGAGGTATTTCTTACAGGTCTTCCAGCTGTGTGACCCAATTTAAATCTGAGGTTTGCACACTAGGTTTACATTTTACTACAAAACCGTCTATGTTAAAGGGACACAATCTTTCTATATTAGGTTCTTTGTAATTAAAGTCCCAGCTAGCACCTTGCCGTTTTTCTAGAAAGTCTAGACTCTGGCCTCTACCACTTAAAGTCTATGTGCTTAATCTCGCAAAAGACTGCTTTCTCATCTATAAAAAGATGAGATCTATAACAATCTACCTCATTGGGTTGAAGTGTGGATTATAGGAAATAATGTCTGAAAGGGCGATAATGGGGTCTGGCTTATAATTCTTAAAAATGGAGGTTCATCACTATCTGCCATGAAGAGCTAACAAATAATTTCATCATAGTAAGCAAAATAACTCCTTCTGGTCTGAGATATAGAAGAAAGGGTGTTTTACTCCTCTACTCAGGTTATCAGGGTATTATCACCTTTTAATCAGGGGGAAATTTCCGCCCCTTTTTGTAAAAAAGCAAAAAAAAAAAAAAATTAATAAAGGTAACGTCCACACTAGAAATAAAAATCTTAGGACAAAGAGATCATAATGGCTGTGATAAAAACAGATACTTTGCCACTGCTAGATAAGTAGCCAGAGGCACTACATATTTTACTGGTCCTAAAGCTGTAGTTTTTGACAAGCAAACTTGCAAAAAGCTACCTCAGAATGGACCAATAAGACAAAGGTAGCACTGGGACCTGTGTTTCTTTAAAAGTTGCTCGAAAATATCTCTTTCAAAACAATTGATATTTTCATTTTTGCCTTTCAAAAATGATACAATATGTTAATTATAGGAAAATAAACATAAATACAAATTTAAAAAAAATCTCAAATCTCATATCTTCTTACACTCTATTTAAAAATAATGCCTGAGCTATTCTAACCAGGAGTTTTCTTGTTGTTATCATTATTTTTATCATTATTAATACGTATTTAGTAAATAATTGGAAAACTCCTAGTTACAAATCTGAGGGCCTTGTCCTGGGAGGTAAAGCATTATCAACAATTTGCGAGAGACTTGTGCTTGAGACACCACCTCCACCTGGTGGTAGCGCGGCCAAACTACAAGTCCTGGCGTTTCGGGACTGAAAAACAGGTGAAACTATCAACTTTGAGTTGTGAAGTAAGAGCAAATGTCATGAGCGACAACAAACTGCATAGTTCCCCTAAACCTCTTGTAGGTCTTTTATGAAGAGAGACTAAAGAGGTCAAAATCCATGTACTTCAGTAAAGGTGACTGCTAAAATTTTGGTTTGGTGAACTTTCTGTCTCCGCACGCTTGCGTGCAAGAGGTTAGCACCAGAGCACTACTCCAAGCCAGAGGCAGCGAACAGCACCCTGAAATGTGGGCGCAGTGTGCTCCATGCTTTTCTAAATGCAAGAAGCACTTTTACCTAGAATGCGTCTAAATTCAAACCAAGTTTAAGGGGCTTGAGGTTAAAATGCTTTAAAAACTAAAATCTGTCACCATGGAAAGTTTTTTTTAAAGGCTGTTGTGAACCTTCTTGGGGCTCTTTCTGGCACAGCAATTTGAATATTTTCCTACCAAATGTGCTGAAACCCTATTTGGCTTATCTCCTTGTTTGGATAAATGTGTCTAGAGTTGGAGCTGGCTTACTGGCTGATGAATTATTTTTCTAACGGGTTGGCTGGGCTTGATGCAACATAGCCAGAAAGACATTCCTTGTATCAAATTTCCATTCCTCTCATTTGGTAAAGGACATTTTTCCTCTCTATCTTTGCCACAGAAAGCAATCTTTGTGTACATTTTCATATATCAATAAATAGTTCAAAAAGCCACAAGCTCTCTTGAAAATTAAAACAACTCCTCTGACCTGTAAGCTGAAGTACCTGTAAGAAGTGCTTTATAGTCCATGAATTTCTCAAGTCAAAGCCACTATTCTGCCCTACTGAAAAAAATTTTCCATGACAAAAGGGAAGCTTTTGATCTATATTAAAAACCCTAATGGACAGAAAGACAGAATAAGTGGGAGAAAGAGCTTCCATCACAAAGCTTTTTCATTGTGCCAAGTTCTGCCTTCATATTACGATGTACCAACCAAGCCCAGTCCTGACACCAGGAGACTGACTGCCTTTCACCCTATTATGGGACTACAGGACTGTGCTTAAAGGTACCTTTCTGAATTAGTTTCAGCATTCAAAACAGAATTAATAGGAAACAATACATGACCCATGAATCAAGGCAGCCTAAGTAAAAACAGGCTTGATACAATGAAAGCTTATTTACCCAAATTATAATTAACAAGAGAGCTGTTATTTTTCCCGAGATCTGTTTCTTAGCAGCTTCTAATGAAGGGGCTCCAGCAGAACCTCAAGTCATGTGGTTCCTGGTTAAGAAAAATAGTTCAAAGCTTCGGACTAGTTTCTTTGTTAAATCAAAAACCTGGTTTTCTAGGAAGATAGAAGGTAGGGTTTACCCACAAAGTTCTACTATACTGAAACATAGCAAAGGAAAAAATTACTTTCTTCCCAAAATATTTCAGAATGAGTAGTTGGGTAAAAGTATAATCAACTAGGGGATGAAAAATTATGCATGACATCCTGGAAAATCTAATATTTAAACTACACTTAAATTTTCTGCTACTTAACCCAGAAAACAGCTTATTAAGTGATCAAATCTTCATATTCATAGCATAACAGAGAAAAGCTTAAATTAATTATTCTGGTAAATTAATAAAAAAACAAAAACAATAAAAGTCATAAAGTGAAAAATAAAACACGGTGGGGAGAGCAAGTTTTAATTAGATAACTTATCTCTACTCCGTGCTTTGATTTAACTTTATATCTCCCAGGAGCTTTTTTATCTGGTACATCAGGAAAATGCATTAATAGTAGCCAAAAGGTGAGAGATATTTTATACCGAATATAACAATGATAGAAATGACTACCTAAATATCAGTTCTAGAATGTTTCCATATTTATATATACAATTAGAGATTTTAAAAAAATGTATAATAAAAATGAGATAAGAATTGTGGAAGACAGAACACTGGGTAACTGTGTCACTTCTGAATCTTTTCCTTAATTTTTAAAGTTGAGATGTTTCTGTAAAGTATTTGAGCAAATTTTCTTGTTTTAAAAAACTGGGTCAAAGATAAGCGCAACAAATACTTACATCCATTTTTTAAAAATTGTTACTTCTTATGTTATAATCCATCACTGAAAATATGTGTTGAACTGTCATTTTATATTTTAACTATCAGAGCTGTACCCTTATCAGCTAGTGGTCAAATACTGTATGAAAAGATTTAATCACTGTATTGACTTACATAATTTCGACATTTAGGGAAAGTATGAGGATAACAGGGATAAAGAAAGGGGGAGGAGCACAAAGTAGTGTAAGACAAAGGGAGAAACAGGAAAACAGAGTGCTGACTCCTGATACCCTCGCGCCCCAATCCTACACAGTGGTCCAGCGATTGAGCTTTTCTTTTCACAGGATAAGCCTTTACTGCTACTCTAGAAAAGCTTCTGCAAGTAACAGGAGTTATTTCAAATCTGAGATACACACACAAACACACATAGGTATAATTGTGTGTACGTTTATGCCTGTAGAGGTATCTATACTATTATATAGTAGACATTATATACTTATCATTTAAAATGGAGAAGTAGAAAGAAATGAAAAGTTTAGTCAGCTATATTACTTTAGTGTTACTTTCCTTCTAATTATAGAATATCTTGTGAGCTAATCTTAGATGTTATTCCTTGGATCATGATGAAAACTATAAAAATACCAGAATAAAAATAATGCAGAAGAGCATTTTGATAAACATGTGGCCATGATAATTTTTCCTCATAAAAAGTTTGCAAGTGGTTGAAGAGTTAACAGAGAGTTAACACAGCACTGAAAAGAAATAGGGTCACCTTCTAAACTTTAAAAGTCTGTCAATATAAAATAATTAAATAAATCCAACCTGGCAGATTCCTCATGATGTTCCATAATACTGGCACAATCATCACTGGTTTTATAAGACATGATGCCTAAAGTGGTTGAAAGCTAAGACTTAACTAAAATATACAAATTTTTTTTTTTTCTATTAAAGACACTGTTAGGGTAAGGGAGCAAGGCATATTTTCTCACTGAAAGTGTATAAAATAAAAATAAATCCAACCTGGGAGATTTCCCATTGATGTTCCTAAAACTGGGACAATCATCACTGGTTTTATAAGACATGATGCCTAAAGTGGTTGAAAGCTAAGACTTAACTAAAATATACAAATTTTTTTTTTTTTCTATTAAAGACACTGTTAGTGTAAGGGAGCAAGGCATATTTTCTCACTGAAAGTGTACTTAGTTCACTGAAAGCTCTACTCTGGTAACATACAGCTGCTTATAAGGATAGGCTTACATTAATAAAACTATGAGGGGACTATATCCAGTGAAATCATATGTAAAAGAACTGGGTAAAATGTGAATTTGGGGGAACTTAATCACATTCATATAAGCAAAGTGCCACGTGTTGAATTGTTCCTTTTTTTTTAAATGTTGGACTTGACCTCTAGCAAGGCTATACTGATAAGATTTAAAAGTATGATTAGCTAACTTTTATTGAATGCTTATTATGTGTTAGGTTTTAGGCAATCACTTTCACAAATATTCTTATTTAATCCTTCAAAAACTTAGGAGGTAGGCATTCATATTTTATATGTGACAGTAACTAACTGCCACTGCATATTCATTTTTCCTTTATTCTTGTAACAAAATACTATTTTATTGGTGGCAAAAATGCGCTCAGTTAAGGATACATTTCCCAGCCTTCCCTGCAGCTATGTGTCCATGAGACTAAGTTGAAGTAATCAGACAAAAAAGGGCTGTATGGAACTTTCAGGAAGACTACTTAAAGGGAGCTGACTCAGCTGGGAGGTACATCTTTTTGTTTCCACTCCTTTCTTTTCTTATCCAAGGTCACACTTGATGCTCTAGCCATCACATCAAGGCTGGAACTCCTGAACAGTCAACTGATCATCCCTGAATTGCCTAGCTCCAGACTTTTTATATAAGAAAATAAACCTTTGCGTGTTTAAGCCACTCTTATTTGTAGCTGAACCGATTCCTGATGCCCACATTTACATAGATGGAGAAAAGGAAGGTCAGTGAAGTTAAGTAATGTAGCCAAAGTAAACCAGCAGGTAAAGAACAAGGATGCTAACTCAAGTCTATCAGACTTTATGGTCCAGACTTAATAAATACCCAGTAGAATGCAAGCTCCTCAAAGGCAGTACATTTTTCTGCTACGTTCACTCCTGTGTCCCTAGTGTTAGCACAGTGCCTGGTACACAGTAGGTATATAATAGATGTTCCTCGAACAAATGAATGATTTTATTATATCATTAGTTTATCAGATAGAAGTTTAAATATAGACTCCATCACATTACATTCTTTTAGAAATATTAAACACGTATAGGAGAAAATACATTGTTTTGTCAATAAAATTAGGACATCAGTGGAACAGGCAAATGTAATAGCTAATTGCTGTAAAGCACAGAAATTAAATCCCATCAACTCTTGAGAAACAACACTAATGAACTATTTTCTTACCTATAGTTACATCACCTTTGATTTCACTTTCTACACACACGACTGCTCCAGGAGCAATCTTCACACTGTAGGAAGAAAAACATAACATTTATCATGGGTAAAGTTTAAAAAATATTGTTACAGAAGCTATTCTGACACTGCAATGAAAAAAAAGGCTAAGAAAAAAAATTGATGGAAAAATGCAAAGTAAACTGTAAGAGGGTAAGGTTTAATATAAACATCTCAAGTGGTATACTCTCCATTGGGCTAAAATCATATATGATGCCTTATTACAATTATTGGGGGAAAAAAAAGAGGCTTTGGATCCTTTACTTTTAACATCAGCATTGTTTCTAAATACCAAAAAGCAGAAAATCCATTAGTAGGGTACTGTTTAATGAGTTATAATATACTATAAAGAGAATGAATAATCCTTTAGTAGCGATTTAGAATGATCTCCAGGCTAAATGAAGTCAGAAAAGCAAAGCTGGAAAATGAACAGTATATAATATGCCACTAGTTTTGTAGAATGGAAGGAAAAGAATGTACATTCAAATTATTTAACAACCAGCAAGGTAACATTAATACAGAAATCAGAATGTAATGTGATGGAGTCTATATTTAAACTTCTATCTGATAAACTAATGAGGCAATATAATAAAATCACAAAAGTTCCTATTTATTTTCTAACTATATATAAAACTGCTTATCAAGTGATATAAATTAATGCAAATTGTTCAAAACATCAATAATTCCTAAATTTATTGATGCTTTTTGATATTCCACTGTGATCTTTTGTCAAACGCAGCTGAATCTAGCTAAATGCTGAGCCATGAGACAACATGAACTGCAACAAATGACTTCCCCATTAAATTGACAGTCATTATGTAACTTGTTCTCATTAAGTAAAGAATTTTTCTTAGTAGTAATGATATTATAGTGATGGTATTAACTTCCATGAAATAACAATACCATTTTAGATATTTTGACTATAATTCTATTTGGACTTTTCAAATTTTTGATTTCTCATTGTTCATTGCTAGTATATAGAAACACAACAATTTTGTAATATTGACCTTGTATCCAGTGACCTTGCTAAGCAATCCACTTTGTTCAAGTAAAATATTTCTAGATTTTCTGGAATTTTCCATGTCAACAATTTTGTTGTCTGTGACTAAAGACAGTTTTATTTCTTCTTTTCCAATTTGTATACATATTATTTCTTGTTTTATTGCTCTGGCTGATTTCCAATACAATATTACATAAGAGTGATGAAGCCAGACATCCTTGCCTTGTTCTAAGAGCTTTGTAAGATCAACAAAACCTATCAAATTATCTTCTAAGCCATGAATTTAGCATTTAAATAAATTATTAAAATGTGTATGTGAAACAGTTGAAGCTTTGTTGACACAAATGTTACTCTCTTATTTATAAATTTTCCAAAAAGTTTTTTCTCATTTCACTGAATATGTTTTACAACCGGAAAGGACCAGAAATCTAGAGTACAATGATTCACTCATATTAATATTATTTAATTTATATAAATATTCATGTATGAAAGTGCATGCTTATTTTTAACTTATAGCAGACAGTATAAAAAATTTAAAGATATTTTCTATTTGTTTTCCATGTCTTTTTTGGACACTCCTTTGACTTAAAAAATTGTTATTGCAAGGTCTTATTTTTTTAAATGTTTTACTGTGAAAGATTCATATGTTTTTAAAATGTCCTCAATGATTGCAAATTTTCATTATATGTAATATGAACTTACATAAGACATGCTTGCCATTCTAATAAAATAAAGAGTTTAGCACATTCAGTTTTTTTTAACTTTTGAGCATCATTTGCAACTAGAGCAATGAGTATAGCTGTACTAGTTTGTAACTGCTGAATATCTGTTTTTGTTTAAATATTTCCAAATTATTGCTGAAAGAACTGTTAAGAAAGTAATGATATTCACTGCCTTCAGAGAGAGGAGCTGGACAACAGGGAAAAAGGGTGGATAGATTTTTTTTTCATTAAATACTATTTTTTAATCATTTGCATTTTGAATAACACAAATACATCCCCTCCTCAATAAATAAATAAAACAAACAAAAAGATCAATAAAATTGTCTTAAGACCAAGTGCCAAAGAGGTCCTGGACACATTCTCATAAGCAGGGTGAACTTTTATCCATTTTTCTTAAAATGTCTCCCTCAAATAATGATCCCAAGCGTCTTCTCCCTTTGATTTTATTTATCTAAAAAATACTTTCTTGTAACAAGATCTTAAGTATCCTTTAATGAAAATTAGACTCCTTGGTTTCCCTTTAAATCATTTTTTTTTATTCTTTAAATCATTTTTTCCCATTGCTTCAGCAACAATCCTCTTTAGTCAAGGATAAAATTATTATTATTCATTAGTATCACTTCTGATTAATTTCAATCTTCAAATAAATGACCTCCTATCACAAATAAAACCCTATTATGCCTTATTCACAGTGGCATTGATTATAGTATTTTTTGACCAGTGTTCATAAATGTTCTGTCATAATATACCTAGGATGCTTGATACTGTACTAGCAGAAACATGACACAAGTCAGTATAAGTAAGAAATGAAAGGATGTGTTATGAAATAAATGTGAATACTTAGATTATTTAATATGATTCTATTCTGGCCCATTTCTTATATTAGTTTGTCTGGGGTGATGAGGAATTCTTGTTTTACTACTTATGATAGCTATCCATGATGATACAGCTATAATTTAACTGAGACACTTGGACACTTCTGGTGGCACTGTCCAGACACCTTTTTGAAAACACTGTACCAATGTGCATCAGGAAGCATAAAAATATTCACAATGTTTGTCCTAGAAAGTAGAACAAAATGCAAAAAAAAAGGGAAAATAGGAGGGAAAATGTGAGAAAATTAGAGGACCAATACATGAGGTTTCAAATTCAAATAAAAGAAATCTCAAAAGGAGAAAAAGAGAAATATTCATGGTGAAAACTATCAGAGAATAATACAAGAAAATTTCCCAGGACAGGTATCAATCTCAATTCTGAAAGAGTTCAGTGAATGCAAAAGACCCATGCCAAGTTACATCATCTAGAGATTTGTAAACACTATGGAAAAGATCCTTAAAGTTTCAGACTCCCACAAAAAAGTTACACATTGAGGGAAAAAATAATCAGAATGGCATCAGATTTCTCAATAGCATTACTGGATGCTAAAAGACCCGAAGACAAATCCTACAGAATTCTTAGGGAAAACTATGTTCAAACTAGAGCTATTTATCTAGCAAAACTAGCAATCAAGTACAGAAGGAAAATAAAGGTGTTTTCAGACTTGCAAGGACTTCAAGAAAAATAATCTCCTATGCACATTAGGAAGATGCCAAAGGACATACCTAGCTAAATAAAAATAAACCAACAGACAAGACAGATTCTAGAAACAGAGGCTCTAGCCTGCGAAGACAGAGGGAAACATCAGAACATTAGCCGTGCATCAGCCTTAGAGAGCAAAGATGATAGAGGGCTTCAAGAGGAAGATCTCCAAGGGGAAAAAAGAAAGATTATGTGAGGATTATTTGAAAAATGATCTGTTGGAAGCATTTGACATATCTGTTGGAAGATCTGAAAAAATACCAATCAGTTCATAGAAAAGGAAGGAAATAAATGAAGTTATTCTGTTAAATTTTAGAAGAATTCAGTTTGAGGAGTCCATGGAAAATTCAGGAGAAAGACCTAGCAAGCAATTGAAAACACCAATCTGGATCTCATGAGAGAGCTCTAAACCAGAAATATAGCAGTCAGCAGGATTCAAACTCTTTAAAATATCTCTCCATTTTTCATATTCTAGAATCCCCCCAAAAAATAAGAAAAAAGAAAAAAATAACAGAATCCCCCCAAATATTCCCTCATATAAATGCAAAGTAATACCAAAAATACTTTTTAAATTGCATCAACTAAAGAAAGAATACATATACAAAATTTTCTTCTACAAATTTCAGTGAATGAAACTTCCTACCATGAAGTATTTTTAAAGCTTTAACCCCAAAGAATATACCTCAAATAAAAAACTAATAATACCTAGGTTTATCTTCAAGAAATGTTTGTGAGATTAGACACAACTACATGTGTTTCCATCGTTTTGACATGCACTGAAGTTAATGGAGTTAACCACAAAGCTTAAGTTAATGAAATTCTAAAAATGACCCGTCTGGTCATTTTTAGACACCACCGACAACAGGTAGGAAGGGACGGGGGTGAGGCAAACACTAAAGTGGGTGTCTGGGAACATACAGCAGAGAATATGTGTCACTTGACTGCTGAAATCACAGAAAATATATAACCCTTCTACTGAGTAGAAGAAAGAAAACTTCGGTAACATGAAACAGAAAGCAGAAAATGATCCAACCCTCTCATTTTATAGGTGAGAAAACTGAAGCCCTAAGACTAGAAATGTCCTGAAGCAAAGTTTGTTCCTGGGGCATCATTACCCTAACACCAATCATCCCTTTTCTGTTAGTTGAAAGTTTCCTGGAAATATTCTGTCACTCTGGATATTTTTCCTGTGACAGATCAATCAATGCTGTCCTTGAACGTATCACCATTTGTAAATGCAATTTCTCAAACGCTTCTCTAATTTAGAGTGGGGGCTTTGTGTGAAAATATGCAATTTTATTAAGCCCCGGTCGACTAAATTAGGTTTTATAAAATACCCCTTGTTTTAGATCTTATTTCATATTCCAACTTTCCATTCCCTCAGTCTTCCTCTCCCACTATGATTTTTTATGAAAAGAGTATTATCTAACATTTAACTTGTCCTGGATAAACAAGAATAGGAACGATTCACAGTGCCTCTCAGTCTTCAGATTTATGCCTAAGGGAGAGGCCCCAGATAGAGTTTGTGTCCCAATCGGCAAGCTTCTCCGCGAGGCAGGAAATAACTGAATTCACCACTAGAACCATTAAAACGTGGTCCAAACATCCCCTAGACTCCACTGCACCTCGGAGTGGTAGGTGGATGCGGGAGCAGGCAGCTGGGAGAAGGCTTAGCAGAAGACCTGAGTTAAAAATATCAAGTCAACAGTATATTCATCTCTACTGTACACTACTATATACTGTACATGATATTCATAGTAGATCCATTCCTCTGTAGCTTGTGAAAAAAGATTACAGATACTTGCCTAAGCAGAATAAATATCTAAATTTTATTTTATGGCACCCGAAACAATGTCGGTTTTCTTTTTCAAAAAGTATCAGCAGGGGGTGCTCAATACTACTGCTTTTGGAAATAGTTTAACAAGCATTTCTCTCATCCAAGCCGTTCCTGTCCACCAACGACAGTTCCTAAACAATGAAGACTGCTGGAGAAGAAACCACAATTCCTGTCCTCACACATTTACAAAGGAGCGTGTCCACGCTGGGCAGAATGTATCAAAACAGTTCTAGTCCAGGTGCGGCCTCCTTTTTGACAAGCGACTGTAAAACAGTTTACACAAATAGACACCACCGACAACAGGTAGGAAGGGACAGGGGTGAGGCAAACACTAAAGTGAGTGTCTGGGAACATACAGCAGAGAATGCAGCTATGAGCCATCGGCGAACAGCCGCACCCAGCGCAGCAGAATGGAAGGGGCGATGCATTCTCACCTCCCAGCAACATCGTGAGACCCCCTTACGCGCAGGCGCGCTGCGGGAGGACGGCAAAGTGGGACTGGGATGAAAGAACAAAAACCCTCCGGCACTGGTTCCGCATCCCTTCTCAGGCCTCCCCACCCCCATTTTGTCGCCTCCTGCCTCAGCAGAAGCCAGACCGGGACTTAAGGAACCATTTAGGCCGAGTGCCAGAGATAAGACACCATCTCAGTCCTGACCACTGGCGACCAAGAACAGGTTCCACCTCTGCAGAGTTGAGAATAGGCTTTTTTCAAACAGCTGACCCACCTCTTTTGAATCTTCTCCGCCATGGTTTGGCCCGGGTCTCCAGTTGGAGCCGAGATCGACACAACCGCCTGAGTAAAGCGATGATCTCTGCAAGCGATTGGAGAGCCTGGCAGGATTGGAAGAGGGCGGGGGCGAGGCCTGCCCGTGGGGGCGGGGCCAGGGCGGGACCTGTTCGCGGGGGCGGGGCGGGGCCGCCTCTGTCTGAGTGAGCCGCATTGTGCCAGGCGGAGGTTGGTGGACAATGCTAATTTTAGCGCAGTCCAGGGACAATAGATTCGGATTTAAAATAGCCGTTTAGTCCAATCCAACGCACATCATTATGACCTCATTATGCCCCACCGTTCATTTTCATTCTCCTTCCCGGTCTTAAAGTTCCTTCTGCTCGGCCCTGGGCCCTTTTCCTGTTCAGTGAGTGAGCTCATCTCTTCCTGGATGAGCTCATCATATCTATAATTTAAGTACCTCTATCTACTGGCTTTCTAAGGTTAACATCTATAGTTCTGTCTTCTTTGCCGAACTTCACACCTAGTTATTCGATCGCCTACTGCCTCAAAGTTTTATCAAACCTAAACGGTCCGGAACAGAGCTTTCAATTTACGCCCTTCTCCTCTCTCCAACCAGTTGGTCTTTTGATCTCCATGTCAGTAAAGGAATCCACCATTCACCAAGTTGCTCAAGTCAGAAATGCAAGTCATCCTAGGCACTCTTCACATCTCCACATATCATTCACCGGCAAGTTCTGCTGGTCCTACATCTGGAGTCGCACTTGGCATCATTTACTCTACGCCTCTCCAATCTAATCCGATCCGCCATCTCTCCCTTCTTCACTTGGCATCATTTACTCTACCGCCTCTCCAATCTAATCCGATCCGCCATCTCTCCCCTATAGTTTGTTCCTTCTACCCTCGACCTCTAAAGTCACTCCGCCATCCCTTCACCTCACCCTCATCCAAGCCTGTAGTTAAAAAATCATCCTTTAAAAACCAAATCCAGTTTGGTTTTTACTTCCTGTTCCTTTAAAAATCCGAACTCCTTTCCATAACCTATCCCCGGGCTAGATCCAGCCCCTGCCTACTTCTCTTCTTTAATTTCATATTTCTCTTCCTCTTTCTCTAATCACTCTTTCATTCTTCAAGAAGCCAAGCTGACTCTCCATCCCAAAAGGCTTTCTTTCACCTGTCGGGTGCCTAACTCCGCCCCTGCTCCCCCTTAAGTCTCAGATGTCACATACTCAGTGTATCAGATTTTTCATTAACAGTTGATGTGAATGAAGTGGTATTTGTTAGAACGACCTTGGCTCATGTAGTTTAGGAAGAGAAAGGATAAGAGGGTGGGATATGAGGAAACTTTGATCCCTAGATGGATACCTAGTCACCCATGGTATGAAACTGTAGTTTCCCTGTGATTAGTTACTAAAGGTTAAAGTTACCCTTGGAATTTAGAGATGGGAGTAAACCTGACTCCTGAAGAGTTGGCTCATTGAATTTGTATGGACATGCAAATAATAAGCAGCATGCTGAACATATAATCCCTTCATTATTGTTATCTGTAATAGCCAAAATGAAAGAAAGCTCTGAATTCAAACTTGATGCTAAACCAAGCTCAGATTTAGACATATCTGAGCATTGGCCACTAGCCTCAGTGCTGCCCATAAAGAGAAAAATTATGTCAGAAAAACAGAAAGTACTCCTAAGGCCTCTGGTTACCAAGAAGGTAGTCATTGTGAGGGGTAGGGCTGAAAGTTCCATGCTTCTAATCATGGCTCTGTCTTTCTGGTGACCAGCCCCCATCCAAGAGCCCACCCAGAAGTGTCTCATTTAAACAGAAGATGCTCCTAGTGCTCTTATCATTTAGGAATTTACAAGGATTTTAGGAACTCTGTGTCAGGAACTGGGGTCAGAGACCAATATATACATTTTCCATTATCTTGCAGGATGAATTTAAAACATTCTATTCTCCCCAAGCATATATCCATTTTCAAGCAATGTCTATTTAAATTAATTTGAAAAACTTCCATGTCATGTATATTAGTCAGGGTTCTCCAGAGAAGCAGAACCAGTGGACACACACACACACACACACACACACACACACACACACGGGCTTGCAAGTCTGAAGTCTGAGGTAGACCCACAGGCTGGAAATTTAGGAAGAGTTCATGGTGAGGTATCAAGTCCAAAATTTGCAAGCTGGAAACTCAGACAGGGTTTCTATATTACAGTCTTGAGGCATAATCACTTTGAGAAACCCGTCTTTCCTCTTAAGGCCTTAAACTGATTGGATGAGGCCCACCTACATTTGGATGGTAATCTGTTTTACTCACAGTCTTCTCATTTAAATGTTAATCTCATCTAAAAAAATACATTCGTAGCTACGTCTAGACTGGTGTTTGAGCAAACAATTGGGCAGCATAGCCTAACCGAGTTGACACAAAATTAACCATCACAGCATGTTTATAAGAAGGACCGACCATTTTATCAACATTAGTTACAGTGTTTAGGGCCTATAGGCTTTTTAGGAATCTACAAAATGTTTGAGACCTGAAAATAAAATGTACCGATTCCAAAATAGAAAAAGAAAAGTACAAGTAAGAATAATAAATATTTAATGCAATGACAAAACGCATAATTTTTTTCCATAACAAATTGATCGCAACTGAATTATTCTGTACTGACAGGTATTAAAAAAAAATACGAGGGGGAGGGGGGGGGGGGGGGGGGGGGGGAGGGGAGGAGAGGAAGGGGAAAGGGAGGAAATAGCATAAGGAGGACGGTGGAGGTTGGAGGAGGGGTCTTCTTACCTTTGAGAATCCACATCCCTTCCTCACACTCACATTCTTGTTCCTCATCCCCAGGCTGAGGAATTGTCTGTCCACAACTAGAAAATGAGATTTTTTCCATTAACTTAGTGAAGAAAATATGACAGTCAGATGGCTGGAAAGGCAAATATTGTGATATGTAAACTAAACAAAACCAGAACTTCTGAAAGCAATGTTTTAAGTACATGTTGTTATTAAGTTATATAACCCCAAATGCGTTTTGGTTTCTATAGTGCAGTTCCCTTAATCAGAAAACTGACTTTTATGCTGCTATCACCAGTGCTTTTGTTTGCCTTTTGCTCACCCAGGCCCTCCTGAACCATATAAAAAGATCAAAGAGAGCTTGTTGAGGTTCCCATTGCAGGAAGGCACCAGTTAAGGATTCTGGAAAGGACAGTATCTTTTGTTCCAATTCATAATGGGTTGGCTTCAGCTGTTTTTCCTCCATCCCGTCTCACTTTATCAAGGGGCTGCTTTTCCTTTTGCACTTCTGTTTAATTATCTCTGCAATATGGATTCGTTTTCCACTAATGCCAGGTAGGTTTGATGGCTAATTTTTCTCTTACATCTGTGAATACTATAATAGGTCAAAAAGCACAGATCAGAGTGCAGATGTAGAGATTAAATATTAATTACACTGGTCATTTTTAAGTTTTTACTGCCACCGATTATCGATTACTTGATCATGAATGTGTCTAATAGAGTAAAACTGAACTGAAAATTGACATCACGTCTGCACTGACTCAGCCAAAGTTTGATAAGTTCACATTAAATGGAAAAAGGATGCAAATAAACTGGGGAGATGGATGTTGAGGTGATACAGGAATGACGTAAACGCCTGCATCTATGCACCAACCATATGCCCCAGATGTTCTGGAATGGTTTTAATTTCGTGAAATTCTATCATTTTCAATAAAATTAAATTTTATTAAATATATAACTTAAATGTGATTTAAAACATTTTTGTATAATTTTTTATAAAAATGAAATAAGTCGAAACAAATTTTGTTAGATTAGCTCTAAGTCTGGGGTTCAAAAATTATTGTTACTAAATATTTGATAACTTGATTGAAATGATCTTTTATAGCTAATAAACTCAATACATTAGAGAGAGTTTCTATTTTTAAAAAAGATTTGTGGAATATCCTTTTGAAAAGTGAAAATTCTTTGCCAAAGGATTACATCTCAATAATTCGCTTACTTTGGAAATTAGGATACTTATATTTGGGGGCTTCTTAAGTAAAATCTAGCTGTATCTAACAATTAGTTAGGATTGCTGAGTTTGGTTAAACTATGGAGTATTATTACATGTTCACAACTGATTGCCAACCCCTACCTTCATTTAGGAGATAGGGAAGGCAATTGTAAAAAATTTTTTAATTGAGAAAGAATCACAAACAATAAAGCAAAACAAGTGCAAGATAAGGGTTAGTTCCCATAGGATTAAGAATGCTGGCTTGGGGTCATCTGGTGCATTCTGGCCCCCTCACTTACTGGGTGTCCTTGTACATGTGAATAAACTCTCTTGGGTTTATGTGTAAAATGGAAATAATAAAGGCTATCTCCTGTGGTTATTTTAAGTGTTAAATAAAGATATTTCTTATAAAGGAATTCTTAGCACAATGCCTAGAATAAAATAAGCACTCAAGAAAATCATGCATCCTACATTGTACATGTATAGACGTTTTAATGTTTACGAATCCCTAGGGCAGTTGCTTCTGCATAGAGTGTTGCTTCTGCTTCCACTTCGCTGTGTAAGGATTAAGTGTTCTCCTTATTTTCCCACAGCAGGGAAGTAAAGGCTTGGACCACAATGTTAACAGGAATGATTGTGGGGAGGAGTCACCCCAAGCATAGGCTCTAAGAGAAGCATAGGAATGGTCCAGGGAGGATTAAGGCAGGTATAAAGATTTTCTATTAGAGTTTTCAAACATTTATCAAAGAGAGGCACTGAGCTTCTCCCTCTCCCTCTCCCTCTCCCTCTCCCTCTCCCTCTCCCTCCTGTAAGGTCGAGGGCAGTGCAACCCTATGGAAAGTGAAAAGATACATCTCAATGAGATGCTGCCTAGAGAGCTTCTGTAAGGTCGAGGGCAGTGCAACCCCATGGAAAGTGAAGAGATACATCTCAATGAGATGCTGCCTAGAGAGCTTCCCTAGATCCTCAACACCAGATTGACATCACTTTTCATACCACTAGATTCTGAAGATGTTTTTACTAGGAAGCCTTCCAGAACTGTCACCCACAGGATTGTTAGGGGCAGGTATTGTTCCTACTTGAATGGCAAACATCAAAGAGAGGCTCCC